CTGTCTCCTCTCTCTTTGTTTCAGCTGACTGTTGTGGTGAAGTACTTTTTCCAGTTTGGTTTCTTCCCCTGGACCACGTCTGCCTACCGAGGCATCAACGCCGACCGGCCCTTCGCTCTGCCCAACATCATCGGGGTGGAAAAGAAAGACGGCTACGTCCTGTTTGATCTCATCCAGCTGCTTGCTCTGTTCTTCCACAGATCTATTCTCAAGGTAGCTGTGAAAAAAAATAGTTTTTTAACATATCTACTCATTCAAATAAACCCGTCTGCTTCTTTTAATCTCTCAAGTGACCACCAATCATGTTGAAATGTCCCGAACACTACAGTGCCACGGACTCTGGGACAACAAGGAGGTCGAGATGCCAGATTTCTTCAAGAAGATGAAGAAGAAAGTGGACAAGAAGAAGATGACAGGAGGCGATAAGATGGGCAGCAAAGAAAAACCCTCCCGCCGGCTCAAGTTCCTCCCCTTCCAGGCATCCACCTCCTCCTTATTCTGCAGACAAAAAAAAGGCGAATCTTCAGAATCTCATGGTGAATATTCAGAAAACATAGATGTTTTGAATTAAATGTGGATTAGTGGGTGGATCTGTGCTTTTCTTTTGATAGCTGGCACACGGCCTTTATTACCTGACATGTATAAAATGTCTTTATCTTTTTGTTTTTTACTGGAGAGGTGAAGCCCAAGAGGCAGCACAGCAAGAAAAAGAGACGTCAGCGAAACAAAGTTCCTCTGACCAGGAAACAGAGGATCAGACAGCAGATCAGAGAGCGGATGCTGCAAGCCAAAGCTGCCATCATAGAAGTGTGAGTTTTGTTTCAGATATGGTGTGACAACATAAGCTGCAGATGGCGTTCTGTTTTTGCAAATTTTGTGGATTGTAAAGTGTGTACCGGCTGAGCGCGTGTGATTCTGATGCTGTAGCTTCTTGTGTTTCTGCAGAGCGCTTCACATCTACTTACCCATAAGGCAGTTCTTCTATGACATCATCCACCCAGACTACAGTCCTGTGTGTGACGTCTACGCACTCATGTTTCTCATCGATGTAGTCAACTTCATTGTCACTATATACGGATACTGGGCTTTTGGGGTGAGTCGAGACCAAACATGCATATTACGTTTAAAAACCCTGATATGTACAATGTCACACAATGAGGCCGGTTTTTGTCTCTCCGTAGAAATATTCTGCAGTAGTCGACATCACGGAGTCCCTGTCGGAGGACCAGGTTCCAGAGGCCTTTCTGGTCATGCTGCTTATGCAGTTCGGTACCATGATAGTGGACCGGGCCCTGTATCTGAAGAAGTCTCTGATGGGAAAGTGTGTCTTCCAGGTGGTGCTGGTGTTCGGCATTCACTTCTGGATGTTCTTCATCCTCCCCGGGGTCACAGAGAGGTCAGAGTCCTTCAGCCAAATTTATGAATCTCCTCATTTGTTCACACAGCCTTTGAATTCATTCATACTCATCAGTTGATCTAGTCTTTTCTGAAACATCCATCCATTATCTATACACCGCTTAATCCTCACTAGGGTCGTGGGGGGCTGGAGTCTATCCCAGCTGACTCAGGGTGAAGGCAGGGGACACCCTGGACAGGTCACCAGTCTATCACAGGGCTACACTTAGAGACAGACAACCAAGCACACTCACATTCACACCTACAGACAATTTAGAATCAACAATTAACCTCAACATGTTTTTGGACTTGTGGGAGGAAGCTGAAAAAAACCTTCCTAATTCCAGTTGTTTAAGCTTCTTTCTGATTTTTGTTGTTATACAGTGTTTACATCCTCTTTTTTATTACAAAATATCAGCATGACTTTGCCCCTTATTTCTTCTACCGGCACGATTTGCACATGTTTTTTGTTGTTGTTGTTTTTTAAATCTAATGTGTGAGGTACTGGATACCTTGAATTTCCCCCAGGGGATGGATAAAGCATCTATCTAGAGACTCTAGAATGTAATATTTTCTGACTTTGGCATCCTCTTGTATCAAAAAAAATTATGGCAGCAATCTGACTGATTACAATGAAAGACTGACATCTCGTCTGTGTCTGTTTTTTCCAGGAGGTTCAACAATAACCCGATCGCTCAGCTGTGGTACTTTGTAAAGTGTATCTACTTCGGCCTTTCTGCCTACCAGATAAAGTGTGGCTACCCAAACCGCATCCTGGGCAACTTCCTCACCAAGAACTACAATTACCTGAACCTCTTCCTCTTCCAAGGGTAAAACAGCAGTCACTGCCTTTCATAATAACGGCCTCTGTCGTGGTTTGAAATGTCTCTGTTTTCAGTAGTTTGTATGGTGCATTGTAGAAAGTTCATCTTTGTTGTTCTTCTTTTCTCTTTCAGTTTCCGGATGGTTCCCTTCCTGACGGAGCTGAGGGCGGTGATGGATTGGGTTTGGACTGACACCACTCTGTCTCTCTCCAGTTGGATTTGTGTTGAAGACATCTATGCTAATATATTTATCCTCAAGTGCTGGAGGGAGTCTGAGAAAGTAAGTGGGAGCATTTTACTGTGCTGCTGGCTGCATTTCATCTCCACCGTCACTGCGATGTATTGACCAGGATTAATACAAAACCATGCACTCAGACTTATATGTAAATAATACTAAAGGTGCATTAGGTTAAAAAAAAAATGTAATAATCCAAAAAAAAATAAAAGAACATTTTAGTCCTGAAACAACTTTGTAGGCTAAGGAAACAAAAATAAATACATTTTACTACTCAGTGGACTGGAAACTTTAAGGTGAGAAGTATTTTCATTCATTTATTTTCTATGTCCTCTAGAAATACCCACACCCTCCAGGGCAGAAGAAGAAGAAGGTGGTGAAATACGGCATGGGAGGATTCATCATCTTCGCTCTCATCAGCATCATCTGGTTCCCGCTGCTCTTCATGTCACTGGTCCAATCAGCGGCCGGAGTGACCAATCCGCCAGTGGACGTCTCAATCCAGCTCAGCATCTCAGGATACGAGGTCAGAGTGGACACGATGAACTTCTGTGTTCACTTTTAGGGTTTGTGTGTTCATATTGTCGACACTGAAGCTACTGGGTTAATACCTTTGAAAAAAAACATCTTGCTTCTTTCACAGGTGAAACAGCAAACTCATTTGTGCTTGAAGTGCTACAGCAAAAAAAAAATGCAAATGTTATATTGTGTGAATAAACGCTACCTGTTTTCATCATTTACCACCACAATCACTTCTTCTGTTGCCCTGAGAAAACAGCAAATTCCCTCTTCTCTGCAGTAGCATCATGGTTTAGTTATACAGTGCATTCATCGTCTGTTTCTACTGTAGATGCTTTTTTTTTTTTTTTTTTTTAATCTAAATAGTTGTGTATATGTATTTCTGTTTCTGTTCACAGCCTTTGTTCACTATGAGCGCTCAGGAGCAGAACTTGATCTCGTACACAGAAGCTGATTTCAACAGACTCACCAAAGTTTATGCCACTCATGGAGTAAGAGCCATTTTGTTTCACTATAAATATAACAAAATCACAAGGTCTGAGACAATAAGCAACATAAACTAAACAGCAATCTTCAAAAATGATGATTATAAAACCATAAATGATGATGATCACAGTTTGTCTTAATTGTAAAATTGACTATGACCACAGAGGGGAACACCTCTTATTCACTATCAGCCAATTATTAGAGCAGAAAACCAACATAAGGTTCAGATGCAACACTGGTTGATTATTATTTGACGAGAGGAATGACTGGCCTTTGCCAAATATGTGTTTTTTCTATATTTTCTAATATGAAAATGAATTAGTAAATTAAGAATAAATATATAAATGTAGCACAAAATATTTAAGTGTAAGTTTGATTTTTAACTCCCTATTTGGAGTCACTTTGACTTTTATAGGTTTCATATCACCTCTGTGTTACATGAACATGAGTTTGCTGACGATAACATTATGAGTTACCTTATTACCCCGACAGCGTCAGAACTGTCTTAATGTTTAATACATCATCTTGTTTGTGGAGTGACATCAGCTCCTTAAGTGTCGCTTTAAATACTTAAAGTCACTGAAATAATCGTGGAAATCTAATCCCGTTTTTGCCCTCCTTTCCCTTCCTTCAGTCTGCTATGCAGTTCATAATGAACTATTTTGCGGAAGACATTATTGTTGCTAAGATCAAGAGCGATGCCAGTCTGCTGTGGAGCATCAGCCCGGCCAGTCGAGCCGCCATGATACAGGAACTGAGCAACTCCTCTTACATACAAATGACTTTACGCTGGACGCTGCTCAGGTCTGTCAGTTTGCATAAGTGTGTTTGTTTGTGTGTTTTACATGCAGACGTATATATGTAGATCATTCATGGACGCTTCAGTGCTTCAATGCATTTTCTTCCTCTTTGTCTTACAGGTGTTTCTCTTCTACTTGTTGTTCTGATTTGTTTTTGGTTAATTTGTTGAACCAAACAAAAGAAAGCTGATTCCCTTAAAAATAATTGACCTCATTAAGATAAAGCCTTCTAGTTAAATAGTTCACATATGAAAAGATATAAATATACATGAATCTCTGCATTAAATGTGTCCATTTACTACATATATCGTTATATTAATCAGAATTCTGTCCACCCTGCTCATACGATACAAGCCTAGTGTTTGTTGCCACAGAAACGTACGATTTCCTTTTAGTTTAACATCCTTTATGTGTGTCTCTGTTCAGTAACAACATCATATAATCGTTTGGCTGCGTTTTGTAACTGAGCAAACTTTGGCACATGTGATTTACATCCTTCCCGCCCTCCTCAGGGATTCGGCCATATCAATGAATGCAGAGACGATGGGAGAAAACACGATGAAGTTTGACGACAAAACCTTGAGGGAAGGGATCGTCCGCATACTCAAAGGCGACAGCAGCAGACCTGTGTGAGTCTCAGTCAGCACACAACCAGCCTGTTTGCTTGTACTGTCGTGACTTCTTCAGATGCTGGAATCAAATTTCTTGTTAATGTTTCAGGACAGCGCAATTAAATCAAAGAAACATGCAAGGAAGGGCTTCAGTTGAGATAAACTCATACAGTCAAAACCTGCTCTGCGGTTACTTTGTCTGGCTGTGTGCTATAGTTATCGTTCAGATTGCAAAGATAGACACTTTTGCCAGAGGATGCATCGACCTGCTGCTGTATATGAGGATACTTCAATAGGTTCTCTGCCTCAGGTGGAGACAAGGGGCGTAACTCCCATTTTGGGGCATAACTGGACACTATAAAGCGTTACATCACTGTGCACAAAAACTCAGATGTTTGTAGTCATTTCTGTCTGCCTCTCGAAAAAAAGTGCAAGCATGTAGCATCTGTAGGCAAGGTGATGGCTTCTGTGTTTCAGGACAGTGAGAGATTTCTGTGAAAGTGAAAACTGAAAGAAGCAATCAAAGACAAAAGCAGAGGAAAGCTCTGAGCTGGCGTGCTGTTGCGTGGCGTCCGTCCACACAGCATCAGATGGCAGAAGCAGCCAAATATATCTGGAAGCTCAAGATGGGGTAGCGAAGCCTGAACATCGGTCGACCAAGTGCGTTGAAGTCAAAGGAAACTATCTTGAAAAATGATGCAAGAACAATCTGTGATGTTTTCTGGCGGCACAGAACTTTTTGAAACACCCTCATATCATCATACAGCTTAGTCTTTCTATATAAATCAGAGGGAATAGCAGCTTACTGTAAGGGAACACATAAGTAGCCCAGAATAAAAACCATCAGAGGCTCCAGGTTGCATTTATTTTGTCATGTCTGAAATAATATTTTTCTCTCTCGTAGGATCATTAATTCTCTGCTGCCAAAGTTCATCAGGGGTCCCAAAGGACCAGTGTCCAAAATGGCAAAGAGAATGGCAGTAGGTGAGTTGTAGTACAGATGATTGATTTATATTATACACCTGCATTGTGCTCATAACACCCAAAGGAATTCATCTTGGCAGCTGCTCTTTGGCTTTAGTGAGGATGTACAGTCTAATTCAACCCCTGCACGTCTTCCCTCAGACATGTCGGACCGTCCGGACCTCCAGTCGCTGGCCTTCTTCAGACCCATGTCAATCATGCTTCAGCAGGTCAACGGGACGTCAGAGAAGGACACAGACCAGTGGTGGGTGGTGGAGGAGTGCTCCCCAGTTGTCACCTCCTCCGAGCACAAGTGTCACAGCATCGAGATAGTGATATTCAGTGATAAAGTCAGCCCGTCCAGTCTGGGCTTTCTGGCGGGACACGGGTAAGTAACAAGACGTGTCTGTGAAGATTCTCAGTCATCCAGGTCCTGGTTATTCTCGTAGATTAATCGCAGCAACTGGACTTGCTTAAGTTCCTTGAAGACGTTTCACCTTTCATCCAAGAGGCTTCATCAGTCATACTTTAAGCCGTAGTTGTTCGGCCTCTGACTCCGTCAACTTGTTGCTCCTGATGGGAGATTCTGTGGCAGTGATGAGGTCTATTGCTGGGATTTCTTCCAGTGTTACTGCAAAGTGCTAAAACGTCTTTTTCCGGTTGTGTGAGATCTCTCTCTGACAGATACTGACACTGACGATCAATCTACGAGAATAACAAGACATGGAAAGAAAATCACGAGTGTGGAGTTTAATCTTAACACAGCTGTCACCACTGTCCAGGTTTTACATACAGCCCACAAATACGGCACAATTTGTCCCGATTGCTGTGTTTTGCTGAAGTTTCAAAGTAACACATGTGCTGGAGCTCTATTGGAAAGTTTGCAGTGACAGATGCTGAAACTGTACTCTGCACTCTTTTATTAATATTTGGAACGAGATTCATCTTTTGCGTTTTTCAAATGTGATTCTTGGAACATTTTAAACCCAGTGCAATTGTGAGCACCGTAGTGGGCCGATCTACAGCAGCTCTAAACATGAGCAGATCTGAGCAAATCTACTGTGTTAAGATTAATAAGTCAAAATGTTGTCAAAGCTTTAGTTGACGTTTTACAACCGTACATATACCTTTTGCCTCCGTATAACGGCCAGCATTAATTCTTAACTGTTCTATTCTAGCTTTATTTTAGCTTGTCTAGTCTTGTATTGTGTGTCTTACAGCTTTTCTATTTTTTAGGCAAAGCATTTCATGTTATTTTGTTTTTTCTGAGCAATATCTGGCACAAGAATTTTGTTTGGGATTAATAAAGTTTTATCTTATTTCAAATAAATGTCTCACTGCAGGAAAAATGCCAACTTTCTCCTATGCAGACTTATACAACCCTGTTCACTCTCTTTTCACTGCAGCATCGTAGGCCTGTACATGTCAGTGGTGCTGGTCATCGGAAAGTTTGTCAGGGAATTCTTCAACGGTATATCCAGGTCCATCATGTTTGAGGAGCTGCCGTGCGTGGACAGAGTCCTGAAGCTCTGCACGGACATTTTCGTGGTGCGGGAGACGGGAGAGATGGAGCTGGAGGAGACTCTGTTTGAGAAACTCATCTTCCTCTACCGATCACCGGAGACCATGATCAAGATGACCAGAGAGAAGAAAGACAGCTAGGGCTTAGCGGCATAACATCTGTCAGTACGAGATGTTCCAGTGTCCACAGTGAACTTTTGTCACTCAAATGGAGGTATTTGAGCAAGTAACGGAGCAGCAGGTTGAATTTAGAAAATGACCCAGATGTAATTATGAACCCTGCTGTAGTGCTCCTGACCAAGAGGCTTAAACATCCAGCTACCACTCTTGACCTCTGACCTTCATGGACAAGGAAAGCAAAGAATTTTTCACAAGAGGATAAGTCATTGTTAATATTAAACTGATCTATTGATTTTAATGGAAAACAATTCAAGACTACAAAACATCTCTGACCTGATGATAGACTGCTTAGAATTTTAGTTCATTATTGAGCAATTTCTGTGCCTCGCATTTGTCAGCTGAAACTTCAATTCCTCAAAATTGTAAAATGACTTTCATCATACAAATGTAAATTGTGTTAAAAATAATTTCGGAGACATTTGACCATCACACTTCTTAATCTAAACTGCAGTTTAAAAAAGTCACTGCCAGTTTTAATTTGCTATAATTTATTATTTATTCCATTTTCTGCCCACTGGGCAATGCATGCTTTTCTATCGGTTTTGGGTTCAAGTTGTTACTGGTCTAATGTCGCCCCGACATCCAATTCTCAGATTTAGATTCTTTTAGGACAGTGAAATCGGTGATATTGTCATGGATCAACACACACATACCTCAGTCAATACCATGTTTCTGTATACAACTAAGTAGACTATTGCATCAGTTTATTTATACCAAAATAAAAAATGTTCGACAAAAATGTTTCAGCGTTTCATTTGTGCTCTGTGTGCATTAGTCACCAGCAAGGCAAGAATACAAGGAGAAAATGTGTTTCCAATATCCATCTTTAATACAACTTTAATTACAAATCAAAGGGCAAATATGCAGTTTCATTCAGGTCCCCGGTCTCTAACACGTCATCTTGATGTTGTCCAGCTTCTTTTCCATCTCCATGTTGTGCAGGACAGAACGTGACAGGAAAAAACTATCTACATCACAGTGTCACATCCTGCAGAGAAAACAGAGCAGACAGACAAAATATTATTGAACCATCCTCATGAAAATGCATTTTGAACTCCTAATAGAATGTAAGAGAATCTGATTTCAGCCACCATGGATTAGAGTCAACAGTAAACCTTAAACTCATGAAATTTACACTTAAAATTGGTGCCACGTAAAAGGTCACCTCACCAGGTCCAATTATTTTCTATTCATTTTAAAAAGAAATGCCGAAGCACAAAAAAAACTTTCGCACTTGACATGTGCCTTCATGTCTACCATATAAAAGGCACTATCAGACACAGAAACTAATGAACAAAATATTTTGATCTGCTTTGAAACTGAGACATACATGGACATTACATTTTTAAGGATAATAAATTATTTTGTCTAGATAGACAGGGAAAGGGCAGCTGTATACCGAAGTGCACAAACTTCCATTCCAACTACAGTCTACAACTGGTCGACTGGTGGTTCATGTACTTCAGACCTACTTTATACCAACATAAGGACTTCACAGATAACATATGAATATTTTGAGAAAACTATGACAGACTACATGACACATCGTTTTTTGTATACCAAGTTAGCTCCACCTTGACATTAATATTGTACTTAAATGTGAAAGCAACACAGGCCCAGGCGATAAAACCATAGCAATATATGTACAGGCAATAGACACTTCATCTACAGCAATAACAAACTTAAATGCAAATTGGTAGGGATAAACAACACAGCAGCCTGCTCAGAGGTCTGATGGACCTTAAGTCAAGATATGCAAAGAGGCCACTGCAACTTTTTTTCTATTTGTGTACGTCTCCTTATAGCTTTAACAACAAAATTATTACTTGTGTAGTTTGATTGATATGTTGAAGTAGCTGAATATATAAAATCTATACACACTTTCAGCAAACTGACGCACAGTGTAACATGCATTGTTATGTATGTTCTAAGTCAGCTCCACCTTGACTAGGTAAGACACACATTATAGTGCTTAAATGATTGTGCAACAGTAATTAAAACACAATTTAATAATGCATTACTCTAAAGGACTATTCTGCACAAGATATCAAATTCACTTTTGATGCCCTAAAATCTTTTTGCACCACTTTCTGCACACAGTCAGCGTTCAATGTCACAGCGGCCTCTTGTTGACACGTAATCTGTCGGGGACCGTGATTTACTATATGAGGCGGATAGTTACATATATCTTTTAAACTTACATGCTGTTTTGGGTTTGATGACTCTGACGCTGGATTCTGCGGCCTTTACTGCCTCGGTTTTGAACTGCGGCTTCAGTGCAGCCCGCACTGCGCTAGCGCAGACAGCGGAGAAGCGGATGTAGCTGCAGAGAGGACACACTTGTTAGCCGCATGCTAAAATATCAACACGATTGACAGTGACAGAAATTAAAAGACAAACACAACGACGCACTCAATTAAAATGTTTGCATGATTGTAAAAGACACATCGTGTATAATTAGAGCCTAACGACAATGCTGCAGGTTAAATGCATGTGGTGGAAAAGCTAACTCAAGCTAGCATGCTAACTAGCTATGTAGCACTGGGAAGGACTTAACTACAAAAACACAAAAATACTTTGTGAGAGTACTTAGTTACTATAACAAATCCTAATACAAACGGCGTAGTCAACATTTACTCCAAAGCATCCTTGACAATTGTATATTTCTTCATATTTTCTACCTGAGGCCTGCCTGTCTCCAGTATGCGACCATCTTGCCTGTATTGTAGCTTCAAGGACAGGTCGAAAATGTGCGTGATGACGTGTGTAAAATACGCCAGGCTTTTACTTCACCAATCAGAACGGAGCTTTATCATGATTGACAGCTATGACAACCACTTGTCCCGCCTCAGATGACACCTGTCCCTCTGTCTGCTGTTGATCAATGACATTGATTACAAAATAAGCAACTGCATGCATTTTTATACAGGGATGAACATTTGTTTTAGACCACCTGTCATAAAAACAAGAAAACGTTTACATATATTTTTTTTTAAAGAAATTTGACAGATTTTTCTTTTTTTGTAGAAGTTCCATTTTTGGCATTTTCTCCTGTTTTGTGACATGACAGAGTTCTTTGACTTTGATAATGCTAATAACCTAAACAGATGCTATTTTAACACTGTAATTAAAAATATCCCCTTAAGCTTAATTGTAGAATAAACCAGCATAGACCTAAAAGTGAGACACAATGTGCAAAATCAAAATTCATTTAATACAAAATTTGTCATTTTCAAAATTAATGAAACTGCTTGTATGCAAGCATATTAACTTCTACAGTGTTGCTAACTATAGGCCCAGCTATAACATATATGTATTTGAATAATTCATACAACATTTGTCCTGAGACATTACGTGGAGAAGAAGGCAGTATTATAAAACGCTTAAGTAAGGTAACGGTACCTCAGAATTGGGTTTGGGTAGCATGCAGTAGCTGTTTCCGCCACCAGGGGGAGCGTCACCACTGAGGCCGTATTAAAAATGTCTCCCACGGCTCCTCCTCCTTCCTCGCTCCGGTCACGCTGTCGTCTGTCGCCGGCTCCCGAGCCCTGACATCAAAGCCTGTAAAAATGAAGATCTGGGCGTCAGAGCACATTTTCAAGTAAGTCGTTGTCTTTCTGAAATAATGTCTTATACAGACTTTGCTGTTATGTGGACGGTTCCCTGTTGTGTAATCAGTTTTCGAGGCTCCCGCTGCTGTCCGGGGCACTGCTGCTAGCATGTAGCCGCTAAGGTTACACACAAGTTAGGTAACTACATACAAATAGCCGTCGGCTAACCGAGCTAACAGTTGAATATTTTTAAAGCACATAGCCTTCTATTCGCTATTAATTTTATTTTTTTAGCTGGTATCTACATTATTTTTGATATTTGTATGTACTGGGACTAAGCTGCTGTTAGCCGAATTAACTTTTGAGGTTAGCTTTCGCTGCTAACCGTTAAGCTAACTACCGCTATAGGATGCTGTAGCTGCTTAAGCTACGTACGTTATTTTGTTAAGGCTTATCGCATCATTTCAGTCTCAAGAAGGTGAATGGATTCATGTGTTTTTCACGTGTTACTGCTTAATTCCGGGATCACAATCTGCCCACGGGTTTGACGTTATGTACCGCTACTTTGAGCATTACATAACAGGCTGTCTGCCCGTCAAAGGAGAAACAGCGACGGGAATACAACCGTCCGTGACTGTTTCTGCTCGCTAGGAAGCAAAACAACAACAAAAAAGCAAATAATAATCTTCCTGCTTTTGTCCATTCCTGGAAGTTTCTAGATTAAAACGTAGTGATGATGATCGTTGCGCTGTACGGAGGGGGGCGTTCCTCCTGCTGCATGTCGGCGGAGAGCAGCCTGCTGGGCGGCTCCAGTCTGCTGCTGCTGGTCCTGCATCGATTTCTCTATTAAAATTTAACCTGTGAAATTCACACAGAATGATTCTTATACGTTGTATTTCGCATCGATCGTTTCTATGGAATTCAATGATTGCTGCTTTTCAATCACGTTTGCCCCAAAACGTCAAATGTGCCATTAATGTGAACAGATCGTTTTATTATTACTGCTTCATCATTTTGGTAAGTGTTACATCTATAATTAGTGAAACACAGGCATGATTACTTTTTAAGGTGATGCTTGCATGAAGCATATTGAGAAAAAAAAAGAGGTTTTGCTCAGTTATCAGTGAGGGAAATTGATATCCAGTGCTGAATTAACTAGTCTTTATATATAAAGACAAGTTTAAATTCCTAACAGGTTTAAATCAGGTTGCGTCATACATATAAAGACAAACATATTACTTTCTCTTTTCTCAGACTTGCACATATTACAAGATTGAAAAATAACTGCATATCACACACTAAAAGATTGGATCTATTTGGGAAGCAGATGTAAACAAAGGGAGACTGAAGACACTATTAACAGCAAAATGAACTAAACTGCAGTGGGAAAAAAACAATAGACGAAAGCTAAGATAGTCTGGATGAGAAATGATTAAGCAGAGTTTTTGTCTGTTCTTTAACAAGAACTTGAGGTGAGCTGTTAAACTTTGCTTGGCAAGGACAGCGTCAACTGTTCCTGGCATTTTTGTAATACCTGTATTTATCCCAGTTTTAACTTGGAAATATGAAACCTGTTTGAGGGTAAACCTCTCATGCTAACAAATAGTCTGGACCAAACATTGGGTCAAACCAAGATCACAGACTGGGTTTATCCTCTGTTTGATGTTTGTAGTGAAAACAGGGGTAAATCAGCCCAAAACTCATGTAGTGTTAGCCGAGCTCATGTTCATCCTCAGTCATTTATCAGAATATTTAATGGCCTTTAAGAACTTCCTGTTTCTAAATTTTAACATGTGTTTTAACAGCCACCCATGGGAGACGGTGACCAAGGCAGCAATGCAGAAGTACCCCAACCCCATGAACACCAGTGTGTTTGGTGTGGATGTCCTGGACAGAAGTGTGGACACAGAGGGACGGTTACACAGCACCAGACTGCTCAGCACTGAGTGGGGGCTTCCTGCTATGGCCAAGTCTGTAAGTTAGACCATAAGAGGAAAACCTGAGCTGCAGGATTCATTATTTTTTACTGATAATATTTAATTATTCTTCTTTGTATCAAGCATGAGTTGTGTTTTCCTCCTGCAGATCATTGGGGTAACAAGAACATGCACTTACGTCCAGGAGCACTCAGTAGTGGACCCCCAACAGAAGACCTTTGAGCTCAAATCTACAAACGTGAGTCAGACTCATACATTTTACTTTTGCTTGACACTGATATTAAGCATGAGAATAAGTCAAAAATGCATTTCTTGAGCATTCAAACATGAGAACATATTCTACTTAACTCCAAGAATTAAATTCTGAACCTGTTTTAAATACCAATGCTGTATGTGATGTAAAAAGACTAATTCTAACTTTGTTTTTCTGTCCAGATCTCCTTCACTAACCTAGTTTCTGTTGATGAGAAGTTGACATATAAGCCACATCCACAGGACCCAGAGAAGTAAGTGACTCATTTTCTATGGTTACTGCTTTTATTCTTTTTCTTATCGTGTAGCTCACATGGATCTGGTTAGGCCAAAGTGTTTTGTGCTAAAATGTTTTGTGGTTTTTATTGTAAGATTATAACATTAATGCACAATCTATTACGGATTAGACACTATTCATTTGTTCTGTTTGTGACCTTTTGTTTGTGTGATTGTGTTCTCAGGACGGTGCTGACACAAGAGGCTCTGATCAGTGTGAAAGGTGTCAGTCTGAGCAGCTACCTGGAGGGTCTCATGGCTAAGACCATATCAGTCAACGCCGGCAAGGTAAAGCTGCTTTAAAACCACTAACTTTGCCTTTTAATATGTTGTTGTTATCAGAGTTTATTTGTGTGCCGACGTCTTTTATGCTCTTACTCGGCTACATTGTAGATAAGACCTTGATACCTCAAAGTACTCTGAGATTAAATAAAGGTTGAAGGAAAACCTCCCTGTGACTCACCTTGACAAACTGGTCTTCTCATGGCAGCATATCTGTCACTACACATTATGTTTTGTAACGTTTCTGTGTGTTCTCAGGGTCGGGAGGCCATGGAGTGGGTCATCAGGCGGTTAAACACAGAAATCGAGGAGCTGGCAGCGACTGCTCGTGGGACCATGCGCGTCCCCATGGCAGCAGCTGTTGCAGACAAATGATGGCGGCCTTCCATCGCTGCTTACTCCATCATCATGAACCGATGGACTTCTCGAACATTTTCCCCTCAAAGGGGACCTCGCACCTCATCTGCCAACACAGCCTAATGACCACAGCCCCATCCTTTGGCCCTACGTATGTCTGTTGTGTGTGTTTGTCACAAGAACACTGTTCGTCGCTCCTCAGCAGTCTGCACCGACGGGTTTTCGTCTCATCGGTGCGGGCGGTGACGTGGAGTGTTGAGCTGATGACAGTTTAAAATACAAACAGGGTTGAATTTGACAGCACTTGAAGCTCATAGGACTTTGTCTTGTGACGTGAAAGCTCTTTTTTAAAATTCACACTGTGCCTCCACATCATCACATCCACTTCATCTTTACTTTCCTTTCTCTCTTTGTCTTTAACATTTCATCACTGCCTCCAGAGCTTCGTAAATGGGTTGAGAACAGCCGAAATGGAGTCACTGTTACGTAAATTTCCGGATTGTCTTACTTTGTACAGCGGAACTGACCAAAATATCTCAAAACCAAAAGCTGGCAGTGCAGACAGGCTGTAAGAGAATCAGCTGTCCATGACGGGGCTGTTTGTTTGTTTTTATCTTATCTCCACTGTTATGTAAAGTCAGATCTTGTGCAAACCTGTTTCTTGGACCTATTTATTTTAAAGTATCTAATATTTATATTACGAGGAAAAGCACTGAAGCAGGCAAACTTTCCAGGAAACCGAAGTTTTACTCTGTTGTCTGAACAGTTTGTAAAGACTGGTGCGGCTCAGAGAAAGCAGAGCTCTTGTCCGACATCTGAGTGTGCTGGTTGAGTGACCAGACAGAAATGCTGGTTTTACAGTGTACTCGCATGGTGCTGGAACACAACAGGTCCAAGTGTGACAGTTTTCTAATCATGAATACTTGCGAGGGTCCACAGCAGTCCACGCCACAGGCCTGGGTGTTGCTGATAAAGTCCAGTGAAGTCTCAACTCATTTAAACCAAGCGGGGGGAGGGTGCTTTTGCCTTTAACCCTGATTTGATCTCTTACAGTCTTTCTGGTAAAAAGACGACTTGATTTCTTGCTGTCTCTCTTTATCTTTTCTCTCCCACTGATGATGTGCCGTGTGTAGTTCAGTGTTACAGTATAAGAACGTGCATACTTGAATGTTTAACTTATTATCAGCATGTGTACTTGGAGACAGAACGTCCTTTAAAAGACGTGTTGTTTTTCACCACGGTGTTGTAGGAGGAGCCCTGCAGGGTTGCGTTCAGGGTCACTGACAGTGCCTATAATAGATGTACAGATGGAACCAATCTAATACCCTTGAACACTTCAACTTTGTGACCATGAACAAACCCACTCTGTGTATCTTGCAGTCTGTAGATGGTGTTATTTATAAGTAGCTGTTACACTGATTTTAGAAGCTGTTAGCTTGGAGTGTTGTGCAAGTAGCAGCACCGTTTTTATACTACTGGCTTATTCCATAGAGACTCTCAGGTGCTGCATAGTTGACTTTGCCTCAGTGTCCCTTTTGTTTTCTCAAACACTTCATTAATTCAGTTTTCAGTGGAACATGTACAGTGCTACAGTTTACATTGCAGGGCTTCGTGCTACAACTCAAATTATCTTACAGTGTTAGAGCAACCTTTCATCGAGCTCAGCAGCATCATGAGTCTTCCAAGTACATCTGTTTGTCTTTTCCCACACCTGCCTCCATTTGAACGGATCTTCTCAGAAATCTTGTTCACAAACCGTCTGTCTGTCCGTCTCACGTGTCGTCCAGCTCAGCCTGGTTTAGCCGATCAGCCCGTCGGTGTCCACACAGTGTCTCATTTTTACAAATGAAGTGTGACTTGTGGTTTTTCTATGGGGAACATTTTAAGAACCGTGGCTGTAAATAGGCTTATATTTATATTTTGGTGGTGTTACATTCCAAGAATGTGAACATGTAACAGAATCTAACGAGTGCACACAGAAGTGTTTCAAAAATAAAGAGATGTCATTGTTTCATGAACATGGTGGTGATGTGTGTTTTTATAATATGTCAAAGTTCAGAAGTGTCCCTTTCTAGATAACTAGAACCCTGCCCACCTTAATCATTGTAACTGGAACGAAATGAAGCATAACAGATGAACTGTTTCTGCTGTTTTAATAGTCAACCAGCAGGGATGTTAATAGTATAAAACATCTGGGGTCAGAAAGAGCTGCAGAGCTTTCTTTAAAATGCTCATGTGCTAAAAAGAAAAAAAAAAGAAAATGCAGCTGATATGTACGACAGATGGTTCCTCTCCATCAACTAGCTGGTCAGTGAACGCAGCACTAAGGTAGAAAGGCCCCAGTTGAATGCCACAAACACAACAGTTGTTATAAAAGTTCATTGTTTATGCATACATTTTTGTTTACTTGTTGTCCCCCTGGTGGTAAAACTAACAACAGCAACCAGAACGGCCTGATTTTTCCAGAATTATTGGTAGAAATGTTTGCAAGATTTGCTGATCTTTAAACCTTTATTCAATCAGGCCTTACAATTACTAATGAGACAGTGCAAAAGACTTGGCAAAATATAAAACTTTATTCATTATTAAGCAGTAAGAAATAGATTATAGGCAGTGCATAGCCACGTCATAAACATTTATCGAGTTGAACAGTAGGTTTCATGACTTAATGATTGGACATGAAGGTTGTATGTGTGAAGATTATATGAGCTGGTAATGATGTACTGCATAGCAAGGCTTCTTGATCATTTTTAAAAAACTTCCATTTTTGCCGTGTGGTGGCAGGTACAGACACATTCAGTTTAATCAGTGGCTTAAAGTTTGAGAAGAAGAGCGCCAGTCTTTCACGTTTGTCAGTTGAATCTTGTGTCTTCCATCAACAACTTAGCGTCCGAAGAGACGGTCATAAAGCCCTGTTTGGAATTAAGACAATGATCAGCTTAAAGACAATTTTTACTCCGAACTAAAATGTCCAGTTACATCACAGTGTGGTCTTTAAATAATACTGACCTCTTCCATTTTCAGAACTGAGTTGACCAGCTGTGCATGTTTCATTCTGGGTAAAGCAATACCTTTGCCCAGTTCGCCTGAAAAAAGAAAGTACATGTCACTACAAATACACACTGTTCTCAACAAGCTTAGTTCCAGGTTGTTGGATCAGCACGTATGTATGCATTTATGGCCACTTTCTAAGTGAAAATATGCTTGTATAGATGTGTGTTGCTCTAGTCTACGTTGATGAAGGATATAAACATTTAAATACGGGGTCAATCTGTGTCAGATTAGTTGAGGTCAGTTGCTTGACCACCTCAGAATCTCTTGAACAGTTGTAGAAGTGATCTTTGGCATCTGAAACTGACATCTGCCAGTTTTGTTTTCAGTTGAAATTCCAACATTTTCCTAATTTTTCACCCAATGGAAATTTTCAATAAATCTGTCTTGATGGAAATTGAACAAGATGCCACTTTCAGATGCCCACATCGCTTGAAGTTTATGTCCGAGAGTCTTTAAACTGTCAGGAGATGTTTACAAGTTTCTGGTAAATGGGGAGAAAGCAGCTTATTCTGGAAATCAAGACTCGTTTTTTTGTTTGTTTGTTTTTTGCTTAAGACCTCCCAAATTAAGGATTTGTTCAAAAACCAAGCAGATATTTAAAAAAATAGTAAAAATATATCTCTAATGCATAGGCTCTAATGATCAATTTTATTGTGAGAATAATTTCTGAATGGGGCTACAAGGTGGAGCAGTTGTTAGCACTGTTGCCTCGCAGCAAGAAGTTCCCCGGTTTGCGTCCCGGTGAGGACACCCGGGATCTTTCTGTGTGGAGTTTGCATATTCTCCCCGTGCAGCGTGGGTTCTCTCCAGGTTCTCCGGCTTCCTCCCACAGTCCAAAAACATGTTGAGGTTAATTGGTGATTCTAAATTGTCCGTAGGTGTGAATGTGAGTGTGCTTGGTTGTCTGTCTCTAAGTGTAGCCCTGTGATAGACTGGTGACCTGTCCAGGGTGTCCCCTGCCTTCACCCTGAGTCAGCTGGGATAGACTCCAGCCCCCCATGACCCTAGTGAGGATTAAGTGGTGTATAGATAATGGATGGATGGATATCTGAATGACATTAGTAATGCTTGGAAAGCTTTCACATGTTAGTAGAAATGGGCGTTATAGCCAATGAAAGTTGACACAGGTAAAAAAAAAAAAAAAAAGTAATTGTTTTCCAAATGTCCAGATAGACATCTGGAATCTTGGGTAGGCTGATAAAATTTGAGATAGTAAGATGATTATGGAAGTATCATTTACTAGTGTGCCAAGTTTCAATATCCTTGCAAAAAAATAGTTTTAATTGCCAGAATTTGCTGCATTCTCTCCACTCAGCAGAAACTTCTAAACATCTCCTGATAATTTGAAGACTGTAGGACATTTACTTCAAGAGATATAAACATCTGAAAGTGGCATCTTGTTCAGTTTCCAACTTGTAAGAGATTTACTGAAAATTTCTGTTTGGGTAAACAATTATGAAAATGTTGGAATTTCAGCTAAAAAAAAAATTGGCAGATGTCGGTTTCAGATCATTCCTACAATGTTTCAACAGATTCTGAGATGGTTAAGCAACCACCTTTGCTGAGCAGACATGGAATGACCTTACTGTTTGTCCAGACATAAATGAGTTTTAATTGGGCCCTGTGTGATGACTGAAGTAGAAAACAGTCATGAAGTGAGCACAAGACGATATGACAAAGTCTCACCGTTCAGTTTTGGCAAAACTGCCACCTTCATCGCCATGCTCAGCGTCTTTTGCAAACCATCAACCTGCAAACAGAAACATGATGTGAAGACCACCAACAAAAAAGATGAATGATGATCATGACGTACTTTTGTTTTGCGACATTTACCTTAAAGTCTCCCACTTCAGTTGATTCCAGGGTCAACGTAATACTGAAAGAAAGCAGTAAAAAGATACTTTAAATTGTAGTTCGAGAGCTCGGGCTCAGTGTTGCGCTGTAAAACGTGGTGATGCTCACTTATCCAGCGCCACGGAGCCCTTCAGTGTTTCATCCGCAAACCACCATTTACTGTTGAACTTTGAGTCCTGGAAGAAAACAAATCATTGGTTTGTTTCCAGTTACTTTTTCAGTCCTGGTCGACTGTTTAGTCTACAAAATGTCAGAAATAGCAAAGAATGCAGGTTGCAGTTTATGTGAGTGCGAATTAAAACTGAAAGATATTTCAGCTGCAGTGAGTTTTAAAAAGGAGGGATTTAAAAAAAAACAAAAAAACAATTAAAGGCACAGGCTTATGCATGTAGTCATAATTATTCATACTGAAAGGCTGGAAAACCAAAGTACTCACAACACCGAGTTTGAACAGTGGAATCTGGGTGCTATTTGGCTCAATGGCGAAGGCCTTCACATCGATCTGAGCGCTGAGTTTAGCAGCACCGGACTGGAAGGAAAACAGCGGAGCCTCTTTGGCATAAACCTGCAGCTTCATCAGCAGATCTGGAAACTTCTTGGGAAGCTGAAGGAGAAAAAAGTGATTCTTGAATATTTTATGAGGCAGAGTTTGAAGAGGGGGGCAGGAAAATGGCAAGAAGAGGAAAGGATGAAGAAAAAAAAGTTCATAAAGGCATCACAGTAATTAAGATTAGGTAGAGAATCATTCTATGATCTATTGTTGTATAACATATAATCGATGGCTTTAGGTTTAAAAACTATTCATGTAATAAAATTATAAAGCCATGCTGGTGATTTTGATTTGCCTCCTGTGTGATCCATTTACTGTAATCCTGATAAAGGTGCAGTACATGTTTGAGAGGCAGTACACTTTATAAATTCTGTTTAAAACACTAGGAAGTGGCTCTTATTCACATGTAAAAAAGCCTTCAGATGCTGTCCATTTATGAATCCTACCTCTAAATAAAAGAAATATTAATTGTCAGATTCACAAAAGTAAATCATAAATTTTGGCAGCAGAATTTCGACCTGTTTTAAAGCAATCATTTTTTTCCTTGTCGTCTTTGGCTCTGGGTATGATGAAAACATAAAAATTATCCTAAGAGAGGACAAGGCCAAAAGATGATTGAGGAAAGTTTTGGCTTTTGTAAAAATTAAGATGCTTTAAAATTGATTTCTTTTTTTAAAAAATTGTAGACAAGCTCAAATTACAAAAGAAAAATGAATTAATGATGTTAAAGGTGTCAAACTATGTGCACAGTGAACTATAACGCCATCATGCAGCCCCGTTAGATCATTTCTAATGATGAGCTCCTCTACATACGTGGCTTGTTCTGTATCATGTCTGCTTATGTCAGATTTCTGGCACTGAAGCGCTGCACAAAGGGTTCAGCCAAACGTAGCCCTGGTACAAAAAAAAAAACACTTACCTGGGGAATAAATACTCCCATTGAGGTTGTGTTCAGGTGCACAGGAGAAGATGGAGGTATCTGCAGCAATGAAACAACATTTTTAAACCACACTTTGTTTAGGAAAGAATTCTTCGTCGAAAGGAAAATTGGAAGGACTGCTCTGCTGCTTCAGACTGCTTCTGCTCATCCACCTGTGTGTCCTGTTAGGTGCACTCACCATGCTGTCATCGATGAGGACCTGCAGCAGGCCAGCTGAGTAGTATCCAAAAGAGGCAGAGTTCAGGGTGAATTCAGACACACCCACTGACAACATGTACGCCGGCTGCTCGGGCATGGTGAAGGGCTGGGGCTTAAACGGGGGCTCCGTCGGGGTTTTGATGCTGTAGAACTCTCCCTTCAATTCAAGAGTTGCAACTGATTAACCGCAGTTATTGATCATTTTTTTTGGTGTTGGCATTACTCCTGTTTTGTCACAAGCTGTCATTATAGATTATAGATGCATATTTTTGATTCTACTACGTACTCACAGGTATGTAGTTAAGTATATATGTGTAAATGTCAGGGAACTTCCATGATATAATCACATAAAACTCCCTCCCTGTGTGTGTTTGTGTGTGTGTGTGTTCTTACCTTAAGGCCTAAATTCAGCCTTGAAGCATCAATGAGCGGTAAGCCAGTGAGAGGAAGGTCAAGATAAAGAACTTCATTCACATCAAAGGAAACTGCACAGAATAAAAAATAAAGAAATCATTTGTATTATTTATTTATACACTTGAAAACCTCCCTGTTTTCTTATTTTTGGCCTTTGAAGGTAACAGGGAACATTACAACGACATAATACCTACAAGTTCAAATAATGTTTTAAAGATGTAATATGATGTTAAAGTAAGGTTTTAAAGATTCATCTTCTCAAATAATGTTCCTACAGAGTTAAAAGTTAAATAAGACATAATGTTTTAGCTGCAGCATTCAGGGAATGTTTTATTCCATGATAACAAAGAAAGAATGTTCTCAAACCAACATTAAAAAACTTTTTCAAGATGTTATCGAGGCCTAAAATGTTTTTTATAAAGTGTTTCTGTAATGTGATATATTACCACAGTCTTATATAGTCCTGCCATAGTTTGATGGAAGTTGGTTGAGGTAACACAGAATGGAACAAAACATTCCCACAACGTTCCACTATGTTAGATGATGGCAAAAATAAAAACAAGAAGGACGTTCTTGATGCACCATTCAGAAAACCTTCTAAGAATATTTGGACAAAAACGGCCTAACATTGTAATCATCAAGCATTTTAGAATAACATTTAGTGATCCCACCTTTAGGGAGAACATTCTGGGAACTAAAAGAGAACTTAGCTTAAAAAACATCACTAGAACTTTGCAGAAAATGTTCAGCATGTTTTTATAAGTTCTATGCTTTCATTTTTATTGTTATTGTTTATTCAATTCATTTCTATCTGCTTCTTTTCATAAATTAATATAAATTCCAGCTGGGAAAGGGCCCATGTAACTGATCCATCCATCCATTATCTATACACCGCTTAATCCTCACGAGGGTCGCGTGGGGGCTGGAGCCTATCCCAGCCGACTTAGGGCGAAGGCAGGGGACACCTGGACAGGTCGCCAGTCCATCGCAGGGCTACACTTAGAGACAGACAACCAAGCACACTCACATTCCATGTAACTGATATGTTGTGAATATAGAGGGAGTAATACCGTTCATGGCCTGCAGATGGAACTCCAATTTTTCAATAGATTCAGTCACTGCAGGGCAGATCTGGGGAGGAAACGAGGTAATGTTCACCATTGTTCACCACAGTATGTTTCACATCATGTGACTATCATACAGGTAGACCGCTGATACACAAGTCAAAGAGGTGAGGAAACACTCACATTGCTCTCCATTTTTCCTTTGATTTTCCCCTTGAAATGGTGCACGAAGCGCTGGATGATCCAGCTGTTGACAAAAGTGAAGATGCAGGGTTTATATCTTGACATCAGTATCACTTCTTCTAGATCGATCTCTTTCTTTTCTACTGTACCTGGCTCCACCGTGAAACTGTATGTCCACATCTCCAACCACAGCATCGCAGCTCATGCTGGTGATGGACAGATGCCCGTTAGAATCTCTCCCCAGCTGCACCACAGAGGTCACATCCACACTAAATATAGCCATATTGAAGGATCCTCCATCATGTCTGGGAAAACACAGTACAAGCACAGCGTATGTTGGTGCTGGTGAACATTTATTCATTCAACATCTGCTTCTGAAACCACTGTAACCCTCAACCACATGTATGAACTCTGGCCTAAATGTGCTTCCGTTATTTGTCCAGTTATAAGGGAATCATATATATTATATATTATACATTGTGTCTGATTATAAATCTCTTTTTTTAAAGAAGTACTCTCATTAATTTTACTTAATTCTTACTCCCCTTCCTTGTTCTTTTGCTTACAGTACATTCAAAAGGTGATTTTTCATTACTGGCACATCCATTCTCTAACAATTATATGCATTAGTGGGCAAACAAGCAAATATGCAGCTCAAAAAGTCACAACTTTGATTAAAATGGCTTCATTTTTAGCTCTAAAATTCATAACCACAGTCCAGCCACTATATTTTTTAAGTCTCCATAAAATAATATTGTCATATATACAAATCATTCAGCATCATGAAGTGCTTTATTCGCACTCAGCTCTCGACGTTTTACCATGTTGAACAGGAATGAGGAATTTCAAACTGAATTCACCTTTTTATACTCAAATCTGAGCCACTGGGCTTCTATGTAAAGTCAGAAGTTAATCAAGCATCACATTCAACCACTAAAACCAATGTTTCTGTGCGGAAATGCAGGGAAATAACTACACTTTGACATCTTATAAAACAGTAAACTTGAAAATTCATTTTCGCATTAAAAATATCATTTCAGTTAAAGAGCTTCTACCTACTGGTGTATTAACCATTACAGAAACATAAAAAAGGATTTAGGTCATTACCAATGCTGTAAATGTAGGGCAGCTGGGGCATAAACCTCACACTGGGTGGAGGTCTGATAAATTTGTTCATCACTCTATATTTAAAAAACTGAAGTGCAAATTGCAGAACTCACCAAGGCCGTGTTAAACATTAAAAATAAATATCGATAACCAATGCTTTGAATCTTGAACACTTCCTCATAAAGGTGTTATATGGAAGTCTGTAAGTGTACACATTTAAATTGCAAAATGTGGAATCACTTGATGTCAAAGAGGATGATCAGATTGTCTCAGATACCCTGAAGACTAGAGAAATCTGAGAAATATCGCCACAGAGGAAACCTAAACAGGGCTACTGGCCTCATGATCAGGGTGTTTTACATGTAGGGGAAACTCACATTATTCCAAAGCGTGTCCTCCACTCGCCTGCTAGTGCAACACTGAGGCCTGAGGTGGACGTCTTAAATCCTGTGGCGTTAAAGAACTCAACGGAAGGCTCGGGAAAGTCACACTTTGTTATGGTGGTGCTGAAACACACAAGGAGAGCAGAGACAGATGTGAGGTGTCCGTGTGGACCGCAGACTTCATCTGCTAAACTTTCATAACAGCTATGGGTTATGGTTGTGAAAATGTAATCTTACACTGGGATAGGTTTGTTGTATTCTTATGCAGTCTTACCCTGTTAGTGTGTAGTGTACTTTGCCAATTTTGATGTCGACGTCACCCGTGATGTCCGGCAGAGTCATGTTCTCCAGCTTGTCCTGAATCAGTCCTGCTCCTGCATGCTTTCCTGAGACAAACAGCAAGAAAGTTTCAGTTTATTTTGCATGAAACTTCGAAAAAAAAAATGTCTCATGTGGCTACACCCTGCAAGGTAACTTAGCAACAAATGAGGAAATTGGATCTGAAGCTGAATTCTTCCCTTCATTTTGCAAACAAACTGCCTGTTTAAACAATTAAAAGCTGTAAATGAAGCGCTGCTCTTTAGCCGCCTTTTATTTAACTCTGGAAGATTTGCTGCGAGGAGATGTGTGTTTATTTCCTTACCATACTGTAGTCCTTTGTTGGTCAGGATGACTTGCATCGCAGGGTTTTCTCCAGAGGCGCAAGAAAGGAACGTGAGCACCACTATCACAGATGGAAGCATTTTGCCGGCTCTCCTGTAGTGCAAACAGCAGCTCCACTGCTCTAAATAGAACATGTGAAAGTGAATGTAACCATAAAAGAACTACTGAGACATTTACATGTCGTTCACAACACACATGTTCAGTGAGTATCATACCTGAAATGCAGGATCAGTTTGTCAAGCTGAAAAGGAGCTCTTGAAGTTTGCTCCACATGCGAGCACACGTCTTCTCTGCTCCTCTGTGCCGCTTGTCTGCTGAAGCATTTAGTTCCTTTATCACTGAGAAGTGAAACTCTGTGACATCTGACAGATAGACTTTGCTTTGTGGGCATGTTGCTGTGAGGAACAGGAAACAACCTTTTGATTTTAATCTGTCTATGTAAACCAGATAGTTTGTCGATCTTGATTATGTTGAAATCACTGCATACTCGACTAGATCAGAGACCAAGATGTTCATATTAGAAAGTACTGGAGCAATTTTTAAAGATGGATTGAAGCCTGTATGAACACAATACCTACGTTAGTTTAACAACAGCCTCCTTCTTAGTATAAAATGCAAGTCATGACTGACTGATTGATAAAAGGAACTGAAACTTATGTGTTGGTGTGTGTACTGTTCTTAGGCTTCTCAACATGTGAGAAAGGCAGAAATCTCTGGCTTGGAAAGGACAGAGACGACCACAACTTTATCACTTGAGCCACATTTTCGCATGATCTGCTACAAGCTGCTTGGAAGGCCTCTGCACTGAGTGGAGGACTATCTAAAGTGGAAAATATGTTTCCTTCCAGTGTGCACACAGTCAAAAGAGGAACCTCAGATAACGCTTTAAAAGGGAAACTTAAGTTCAGAACAGCATAAACGAAAGCAAAAGTTAAATCAGAGCAGTCTCTTGTCTGCCTTGTTTGGCTGCATTCAAACGAACAAGGAAACATTAGAATCACCAGCCATAAAATATTAGATTTATTTATCTCTTAATTCAACAAATACTCTTTGTCTCACACACCATGATTAAGTTCCATTAAATCACAATTAACAAGTTCAATAGGAACAGAATATTATCAGACAGACATGTTGTTTGTTTTTTTTTTCTCCATATAACACAGTTAGGACCCACTTGCTTGCACTTGAATTCACTTCATCCAGAGTGACACTTGAAACACCAAGAAAACAAACGAGCCAACAAGGACTACTATAGGCATAAGAATGGGGGGAGAAAAAAGAACCCACAAAACCGATAGAAATAAAAAAGTCATTTTGTTCAAACCACTACACATAAGTTATTCATGGTTTATAGAGCAACATCTGGTCTGATTATTTTCTCTCAAGTGGGATTAATGATATCTAGCAGCTCAAAAACCAATAAGAACATTTTCACACTCCATTGTTTTTCACATATTTCATTCCCCAGTTATAAACACGGACACACTCACAGTTAAATCCATCTTTGCAAGAAGACTGGACAGGCTCTTTAATGCCCGCATATTTAAATCCCCTCCTGTCATGCGGAGGTTGTGTTCCTCTGTCCAGTTAATAAAACACGTTTTCTGGAATGAGTAGACTACTTTACACTATGACTGTAGAGTTTATTATTGCACATTATCACGAAGGCAAAATAAAAAGATGTACATTTCACACAAATAATCCTCCTCTTGAGCTCATGTGGTCAGTGTGGCGTTTTGCGTCACGACAACCTGGCCGGCGTTTTTTTTTTTTTTTTTTTTGGACATCACCCCTTCAATAAAGGTCACCTCCGGAGCTCTCAGTCGTGGATATTGTACCTGAAGGCCTCTATGAGCCCCTCGATGGAGTGAATGAAGCCAGAAATGGCGCATATGCCTCCAATAACGAAAATGGCAACGTCGAAGAAGACGTGGTGCCACAGCAGATTCCTCCACTGGAGCTTTAGGTGGAAGAGGCTCGGCAAGAGGAAGCACAGGCCGGCGCCGGTCAGGCTCCCAGTTAGACCCATAAGGAGGGCGAAGTGGGGCACAAACACGGCCATGAGCAGGGTGAAGACCACCAGGGCTACTCGGAGGCCGAGGCCCCAGGATTTCAGCTGGCCACCGGGGCCGTAGCAGTCAGGGAAGAGGGCCCTCCCGCCGTCCTGGAACAGGGATTTCTCCAGAACCTCGACCGCAGCGAAGAAGGGCAGCGGGTAGGACAGCAGCGCCTTGGCGACCAGGAAGAGGTTCACCACGGCCCGGATGGTGGAAGGCAGGTTGTCCGTGATGACCTCTTTGGTGGCGTCCGCCCACGTCAAGTAGGCCACCAGGGCGAAGAGGCCTTTGAGGACGCAGGCTGCGATGTGCGTCCAGTCCATCATGCAGTGGAACTCGCTGGGCTTCTGCATGTTCCCCTCCAGGGAGGGCAGGAAGATCTGGGAGGTGTAGCTGAACACGATGATGCCGATGGAGATGGGAAACTTCTTCACGTCGATGTAAAACTTCACCTTCTCCCACGCCCACTCGCGCGCCCTGGACAGGCAGTAGGCGATGACGAGGACGTTGATGACGAAGTGCGCCAGCGTGCACAGCAAGCTGAACTTGGACACGGCCTTGAGGTTCTTCAGGAACGCGCACGGCAGGAGCGCGGCGGTGGCCACCACGGACCAGGCCTTCTGGGACACCGGGAACCCCGGGAAGCTGTTGTACATCAGGTTGCCGCTGACCACCACGTACAGGATGCAGGTCATGACCAGCTCGATGATCTGAGCCACGTTCACGACGTGGCCGCCCAGCGCGGGGAAGCGCGGCGCGCAGCAGGCGTTGGCGATGTCCACGTACGAGTCCCTGACGCGCACTTTGATGCCGTCCTCGTTCTCCTCGTACAGACACGCGATGAGGATCTTGCCGGTGTAGCAGCACACCACAGCCGCGAAGATGATGAGGAAGAGGCCGAGGTAGCCGCCGTGGAGGATGGCGTACGGCAGGCCGAGGACGAACATGCCCTGCGGACAGAGAGGCGCAGTTGAGTGGTAATGGACGAGGCCCACATCGCAGTGACAGGCCGAGCCATCCCAGGCAGCCAACAACACAGAGCCCACATCTTACATAATAACAGCACCAAATTATAGTTTCACCATTAAAAAAATCATGCGGCGCAGATTCAGCTCTAATGTCTGCATCGCAGTTATTTTCTCGTTCGCTGGTCTTTAAAACGGGCTCTTCTGTAGGCTGGATCAAATTCATGCTTTAAAAAAGACATTTTAAAACGAAATTTTAAATTCATTTGATTACGACTTTAATTTGATGGAGATGGAGATAAGGACGTGGGCGCCTTTGAGCCTCGGGGTATCTAAGTGAAGCAGGCCCTGCCTGCAGCTCCCTGATAAAAAGATTTGAATAAATAAATCCTAAGGCCCACTCAGCGCCATACACTCACCCACGAACCATGAATTGAGCGTGAAATTGAAGCCTGTATTTAATTATGATGAAATGCAGCACTACGGATACATCTAAAATATCCGCTGAATTTTATTTGACAGTATTACACCTGATTATTATTATTTTAATCTGTGATCGTGTGGATTTATGAGCAACCTCTCTGAATAAAAACATGAGGTGTTAAAACATGAACATCTTCAAGGTGACTTTTTGTGCAGGCCTCATGCATGCAGACATGCTGTTTTCTTGCACATGCAGCATCACAGGGATCAGAGTCTACCTGGATGGCGTTGGTGACGTTCCAGCCAGCTTCCCATGACGTGATTTTTGGTTTGTCCTCGTCCAGAGAGCCTTCAGTCTTCAGGGACGAAGGCCTCGGGCCGGTGCCGTCCCTCTGGTAGTGGCTGTCCCCCTCCAGCTCCCCCTCTCCCTCCATGTGTCCCCCTTCCTCCTCTCCTTGAAGGACATCCATTTGCATCCCTTGCCTGTAGTCATAATCCAAGTCGTCGCATTCGGCGAAACCCAAACCCTCCTCGTCCGTGGCGGCCTGGAAGCCCAGCCGGGCGAACACCCCGCTGACCTTGGCCTGGGATTTGTTGGACACCGTGTGGGCCGCATTGGTCAGTTTGTTGGTGAGCTTGTGTCGGATTAGGTGAGCCATCTTTAAAGAAATTCGTTCTTCAGCTGAAAAAGATATTACCGCGTAAAAAAGCGCAGATGCAGATGCATGCAGGGTGATTGTTTTTTTTTGTTTGTTTGTTTTTTACCTGTTACAGTAAAATCATGCCTGTTGCCTCTTGGACGTCGTGAAGCTGAACCAGCCTCCTTACGGCTGCCTAACCGTTTCACCCAAACCGTTCACAAATCCTCAGCCGCTTTTCTTAGCTTGCTCATCCATATTACTCCCCTCAAAAAGCAAGAAAGGAAAAAAAAACTCCCTGGCGACTGCGTCAAAGGAGAAACGCCTCAAAACGCAGGAAAAAAATCATATGTCCTCATCTGTCGTTAAAATGCGCAATTTTGCATTTTTCTGTTGATTTTTTTCCACGCAATCTTCCCCCACTTTGCGGTCTTGTCGGTGACAGCGCTGGAATCTCCGCATCACCCACGGAGAGAGAGAGAGGAGCGTGCACGTGTCCGCAGAGAGTGCCAGTGTGACGCGCACGGCACAACTGTCACGAGAGAGAGAGAGAGAGAG